GATGCAGAGGAAGAATCGTTCCCCGCAACCTTCGCGGGCGTATAATAAATACCCTTTCGTATCACGTTATATTATATTATTATATTATGGATTTACGCGGTGCCGGCCGTGTGGTGATGTGATGCTGCAGTTACAGCTTGTGTGTATATATACTTACACGCACGATACGCACACACCGCACATTGACACGCGGACGAACATTAATCTCGAATATTTCAATTCGAATAGACGTGACGAACGTGGTTATTATTTTATTAATGTCCGAGCGCACGCTCCGCCGGCTAACATGAGATATCATATAGCCGTCCATGTTTATAAAAATATGCTGCGGCGGCAGTAAATAAATATGATATGTTGGTACGTGTATTATACACAGGGTGATTCACCAAGCATGGTCACCGCATGGAAAGTTTGAATTCCGCTTTTTGCATTTTTTCCAAGTAGGTGCGATAAGTACCATATTTTCGAATATGTACTTACACTTGGGATACCAATAAGGAGCATCCTAGTTTTTTAATGATTTAAAAATTAATATTGCAATCAAAATCTCTCAGTGGCGTGATCAGCTTAGCTTTTTTGATGGGGTGGGGTCGGGGATATGAATTGTGACGACCACGTTATATATTATACATTATTAATTATTGCTTTACCATATATTTTGTATGACAGAATTCATAAGCCAATGAAGGGAGGGGGCATGACACCCGCATGGCCAACGGCGAGCACGCCCCCGACATCAATTGAACCTGAATCTTATGATTTTTTTAAAATTAACAATGTTTAATAAGTAGGTATAGTTACTAGACTAAATATTAAATATATTTTATAAGTGTCTAAATTAATTTCCCCCTACCCTCTATCCACATATTCCATCATATGCTATCACCTACCACTGATGAACTATTATATTTAGTACTGTAAAGTCCATAAAAAAATAACAACTCAGAAACAACTCGTTTCGATTTAAACTTAAGTGTACCAATATATTTTAAAACAATTGTCTGCGCTTAACGTCTACAGTAAAAATAGTTTTTTTTTTGCCACACGGTACAGGTCACTACTTAACAGTAAATTGGCACAGAATATTTGAGTTTTAGAAAGTGTGATTTTGAATTTCCTATAGGCATTTACATAATATTAAACAATACGCATAATTATATACAATTATGGGATTAGAGGGGAGAGGACATGATTAAAGAATCACCCTGTATATAATTTAAATATGACGTGTATAGGTTATTACTGTTTTATTTATGCGTGCATTTATTTTTTATTGCGTTTCGGTCATTATTTCAATGGACAGTGTATTCGTTCGATGCTCACACTAAATCCCAACAACCTCCCAACGGGCTCGCAACTCGCCCACCCACCGTTCACCACTGTCTTCTGTCAGCCAAATTTTACGACCCTTCGCGTCAAGCTCCGGGAAAACAACCACTACGCCGCCACCGCGGAGGTCGAAATGTTTGCATTGGTCCATGTTGACGGACAAGGGATTAATGAAAATTATTAGGTGGACAAGGCCGTTTGTTCAAACTATTAAACATACATATTGCATTTGACAATACATCTATATACTTTATATATAGAATAAGTGTTGAATACATACATTTGATTCTGTGTGGTCACATACTCAATACTCACACATCCATATTTTGAATTGTATTAATGTTTTTTTGTCTTTTCACGCACGTTCTAACATACTATATTATGGAATAATGGGGTTTCTCGAAATTAAAATCCTAAAATGTTGATACAATATAATAATTTAAGCCAGAATAATGAAATATAGGTACTGTTTAGTGCCGTCTTATAGACAAATTGAATCCATTTATCTTGTTCATTTATTTGTAACAATGATAATTAAATTAGTCATTTATTTTATGTGCCTATCTCGTGTACAAATTGACTAGGTACCATTACTTTGATCGCCTTTTCAAAACATTTCTGATGACTTCTGATCTCGATTTTTTTTATGTATAATTTAAAATGTTAATTTAATCAGAGTTTTATCGTTAAAAATATAATTTAAATATAAAGTATACAACAATGTATTTGTTCGAAAAACAATTCAGTTATTGTAGTTATCGCTTAAGATTAAGGTTTCGCTTAATTTTGTCACTGGTATTGGTTTTGGACGTCATTCAAAAGGATATTGTAATTGCAATTGTATGAAGTATCACCTCTTCGCACGTGTAAATAATATAATATATGGAACTGTGTAGTAGGTGACTGATGTGAATTTACAAACACAGTATTTAATGGTGACAAATATTACATACAAGTATAGCTGGGCCAACACATTTGTAATAAGCGTTCATTTGTTTACAGAGTTTCTAAATGGTAGACGATCAATGTACATGATGTAATAGTTATATTACGAATATTCTGTAAATGAACAATTTGGAAACTAGATCAAAATATATCTATGTGAAAGACTTTTGTATTTTTTATAGTATATCAATTTGAATAGCAGCAGATGTGCTAAACATTAAAATAGACACCGGTATTTTATTAATTGAAAACAGTTATACCTATTTTATAATGGTCATCATTTTGATATATTGCGTGATAAACAAAACGTATAGTTTTTATAGATGATCAATGTACACATTATTATTTGTTATACATAAAATGCTTAATTTTTTTTAACTAAGTGTGTGAGATGAGATTTATACGATTTTAACTACCATTATTTTACAGTTTCATAAATATCTTTTATTATATTAAATTTGATTATTGCCAAACATTATATAAACAATAATATAAGTACCATGTGATTGAATGGTTCTAGAAAAAAGTTAAATGTTGAGTATATTATCTTTAAACATTAAATGTTCATAGTCACAAGAGTTGTATTATTTACACATGAATTAATATTATTTATTAAAATATGTTAAGTATATTGTATATTATATATTGTATATTGTAATGTTTTATAAGATTTTATAGTTCTATTAATTTTGGTGAATAAATGCATTATATTATACACATCAATTAATTACAATATGAATATATTATCATAGGTAACTATAACTTATATAGGCATTCTGATGCTCATGTGTGGTTAAAATGTTAAATAAATAGTTAATTATCATAATGATATCCAAATTATGCACATAATAATATAATACAGGTATGTGTAGGAAGTAAAAACTAACAATTTTTTTGCATATCATGAAGTATAAATATTGCAGTCATACATTTTTTAGGGTTCATTTTACTTGAGATAAATTTTATTTTAAAAATAAAGGATAAAAAAATCTTTCAACAACTCACTGTAAATAATCAATAAAATGATAACGGTTAATGAAGGAGAACATATATTTATTAATAAAAATATTCAATTCAAAAATCTTCGTAGAATTCATCCTTGTTCTCAATAATTTCCAATATTTCAACCCCATTCAATTATTCACGTTCCTGGAATCAACAACATTAATCTTTAGGAATTAAAATATTTAGCTGTAAGACTGCTTTAGTACAATTCATTATTTTAATAATTGTATTTGTGTCCATAATAATATGATTAATTGCTAAATTTTAATAACACAATATAAAACATTATCTTAAACACGGTTAATTCAATTTCTTGAAATATGATTTTATCGATATAATGAACTTAGTCAAAAATATATTTATCGCTATTCATAAATATATTAAAAAGAAAAAACAAAATAATTAATTAAAAAAATCTTAGTGAATTACATGGACACAACAGTACAAAACACAGCATATTTTGAAATTTGAACTAACTAAAGATTATAACAAAAACTCAAATACTAAACAAACTATTTTAATTTAATCAACATAATATTATGAAAATCAAATGCATTTTTATGGAAAAAACAAACTTTGTCTTATTTTAGTTAATTAAAAGTATATTCATTATTACGATTGTTAACATAAAGAACGCTGAACAACTCCATTTATTATTTTATTGCAAGTTTTCTTATTTCAAAATGAGCTATACGTATGTAATATAATAATTATACCTACTAAAAAATTGACAGTTTAGCCTTAACATATACTTTGCATTGGCAACTTAATGAAGTGTTCTTGTAGGCGAAAGATTTTGTAAAATACTATTGGTAGTATTTAATGTAAATACATTTTGGAACAATTATAGCGTGACATTAAGTATACGATTCTGAACGCGCTCGTTTGAGATCGATGATAGTAAATAACAAATAGCACACTTGTACTCCAATAGTTTTTTTTTCTGTTCTCGAAGGATTTCTTTTTACCTACTAATATTATGGAATATAAAATCTAAACACAAATGTTTAAAACGTATAACGATTTAAGATCCCTAGTCGCCTTAAATTAGCCAATTTAAACTTAATTCCATTTGTGCAACTATTTGTTCGACTTTGTTCTATTACAGTTTTTAGGTTTTTAACGGACACTGAAAACAAACTTTTTTTTACGAGCAAACCATTCAATTACCGTGAAGAATATATATAGACACAAGCGAGTACCTTATATATCGATCTTTATTCGATTAGACGAGAGTTGATTAGTTTTTTTTTTTTAACGGAATTCTTTCACTGTCAGTAAAACCAATTGTTTAGCATGATTTCCAACGAGTATGAATAATTTACGTAGTATTGATTTCCGCCAACTTTTTCAGCGTTTAAAACACATTTCACGTATCGCCGAATTTTTATACGGGCTTTACGACCTCCGGATAGCTTGTATTTATGCGGAATTAAAATCTAAAATAATCCCAGTCTAACTGGTGCATATTTTCTCGTGTACTCACACATTTTTATGACGACACACATTTTTTTCTCTCTGTCTCTCACCCTGTGTCCAATATTACTTCTAGTTCGTTAGAGGTTCAGTGCTCAACGAACTGTGTTCTGTTTATTTATTTTTGCTTTCCGTTTGCGACTCTTTGAAATCGCAAAGATGATTACGATTTAGAACAAAATAAAACATTTTTTTTTTTTTAATAACAATAACACGAAGATAATTATTGTAATGGTGTTTTTCAGGATGGGCGATAGGAACTGATGAACGCAACTGGAAGTATCGATTATCTATTTACTATGTAAAACAATTTGATACAGGCTCATTCACTTGCACTACTTCACGTGGCATCAACAACACCATAACACTCCAAGTATCAGGTAAGCTTTGACACTATAATCCCTTATAAAGACAGTTTAATGAATTATTGTGTGTATTTTTTAAGTTATAGACTAAACAACTAGTTTCAAAATAATCAAATAGATTTTAAAAACTAATGAATTAACAGAAATAATTTTTTTTCAAAAAACAATTATACGAACCAAGGATGTTATACATTTTAATTTTTGTTGGCCCACTTCCAACGGCGTATGCTGTACTAGTGGTTGGACTTTAAATTATTGTCGAAAATATCTAACGACCAAATAATATAAAAATATTTAAAAAAATATTTTATTAAATGTAAATCAAAAATATACAATTACTTATTTGCAATACCTTATAGCACAATAGCCACCAACTACTAATTAATTTAAATAATGCAAAGCTAAACATATATCCAAGAAAATTAATTATACAATAATAAAAAAAAGTAAAATTTAAACTCCAAAAAATTACACTGGATTGATTAGATAATAGTAAACTATAAATATTGCGTGCACTACGTTTTGATTATATTAAGGACCTAATGTAATATGGCTACAAAAATTGAATATTTTTACTTTTCATTCAAAATTAATATTATAGCATAACGCGTACAATTATTTAAAAAAATCATTTTTTGGCCAACAAACTTTAAGAGTGTTGAATAATTTTAGTGGCAACATAAAATGTAGAAAATAATTATTTATTGATAAATGATAGGTATACAATTAATCAAATTTCAATGCTTACTTATCTAAGTCCTTGCTATTTTATTAAAATAATGGTAATACTGTGTATTGAGGTATTCAATGACAAATTATAGTGGTTAATTATTATAATGAACAGATCATTTGAGATATAACTTGGCCTTTTAAACTAAACTGGTGTTTTATTAAATTAAATTATTTCTTTTATTATTTATAAGAAATATTCAAATACACAATATATGTAATGTACTTATACATTTACAATTAACATATTATGTGATCAGAGAGGAACAACTTTTTTTAAATTAAAGTGAGCTGCTCACCATGTTAGTTTCCAATAAACACAACATACTTGACAATACATAAATACATAGAGAGAGAGTGAAATTTTCAATAATTATTAACAATATAATGTAGTAGTATATAATAGCTAAGGTTTATAGTTATTTAGACATGAAAGAAAAAATTACTTAAGGATTACTTATATACACGATATATTGTTAAAAATGTATTTTTATTTTATGTTACTAAATCTCTATAGAAGTTTCTCTTAAACCTTCTCGGTGGATTTCCTCGGATATTGTTGGAATCTTAGGTTAAAATATCCCTGGTTAGACGTTTGTCTGATTTCAAACCAAAATATTGGACGCAAGAAATGGAATAATTTTATTGTTTAGAAAAACTATAGGTTACTTATACCTTGTCTAAGATTATAGTTAATATGAAAACATTTTTCATTATTTATTTTAATTTAAAATTTAAAATACTGCAATCTCATATTATTTTAAAAGCCATTGTAGGTGTTTACTGGTAGTTAATGAAACTCATAAGAAGTAAAAATGATTTTGTCATCGACGAATTTCTAAAGCTTAAAGATAAATTATTGGCTAGTTTAATGCATTAATGTTGTACATGATTGGAGGTTATAATACATAATCACATAGAATAGGAGATAAGCTTGAGAATTCAGAACTAACCTTATTGTTCCATTATTTTTTTTAGTATATTTTTTTTTGGTATGTTGTTAATTTAATCATGAATACTTAAGTAAATTGAACAATCGTGTAAATACCATCATGAATTTCACTATATATAAACTATTAATTTAACATACATTAAGGATCAATATTTTATATTTATTACTTGTAGCTTATAACTTCTATATTTTATACTACATAAAGTAATACGTAAAATAGTAATTGGTTTATTTAGAATATTCAGTAATTGCATTAAAACATTTTGAAATAAAACTATTAGGTAATAAGTTCAAAATGTTGTTGTAATTTATGAACCTCACTGGCCTTTATAAAAATATATATTTATCTTGTTGTATAAGATAAAAATATATAAAGCTTGGACGTTATGTACTTAACATACTCACGGGATTAAAAGTAAGTGATAAATGAATAGTACAGCCTATAGGGATATACCGTAAACGAGATACGAATAATAGATTTAATAGGTACCAAATGAAAAATATCAAATTTGCATTAAAGTGTTAACTAAAAATATATTAAAAAACAACATTTTGATTCCCATATTTTAAAATCTTACTGTCTGCCATTTTAAAAATAATAAAAATGATATTACAAATTACTAACAATATTATATCATGTAATTTCTATTTTCAGATATTTCTTTGAATTTAATAATTAAATAATATTTCAAGAATGATGGTATTCAAAATTACTACCTTAGAAGGAGACCGGTCTAAGCTTTAGCGAATATCATAGAAAACCAAAATTTGAAAATATATATAAGTTACCTAGGCATAACATTATTGTAATTATTTAAAAACAAATGGAAATAAAATCAGAAATAAACATTATTTTATTTGTTTCTATGTCTCATGCATATTATTTTAATAATACAAAGGTATTAAAAGATATAAAGGTGGTCAAATGAATTGTATCTAAAAAGTAGGTAAAATATTTAAATCTTCACTAAAAGTAATTATTATCAAGGCACAAAGTAATTTCTCATAAGAAGCAATAGTAGTAAGAATAATGTAATTAGATTATTATTATAAACAAAGTTAATTTTTATTCATGAATATAAGAACAAAAAAAAAATATAATTATTATTATAATAATAATTATTTATAGGAACTAAGATAATGTCTTCGACCCGTTCCAATGAATCGTGAAGGTGTTGAAGATTATTTAATTTTGTCTTACGTCTTGAGTAGCTATACATTCTATGGATATAATAATATATTTAGACATACATGGAACACTAAATGTTGAATATACATTTTTACATTTTTTCCTTATTGCTCATTGAGTGCACTATGTGAAATTCTTTTTCCTATTCTGAGGCAATTTATTACTACTCTATCTTTTCTGTTATTTTATACACTAGTGGTTTGAATCAAATTTGTGTAATCATTTTAATTTTAGTCATTATTTATTAGATGTTAATAATATTTCTATCATCCATTTAATTTTTAATTTCTTCTAAACGAGTTAATTTATGTTTTGATTTGATTAATTCCTCCATCAGCATAATGTATACACTATACCGATATTCTCTTTTATTTTTCCAATAATTATACATGAAGTGTAGGTATTCTGCATGGCAAATTCATAAATAGTGCCCGTGGGATGTCTAGTATATTGGTAAGGTGTTACATTTCGGTATCCAGTCTTTAGTGCACATTATTCACCAATTTTCTCACACGTTTTTAAAATTATATTTATGCTATTTCAACATCTATGTTCATTATAATGTATTTATAATGTTTATTTCCGTTAAAAATTTCACACATTTTCTGCATCGAGAGATTTTTGTAAATTGTTACAGACAGGTTAATTCATATATTCTGTTATTCTGGGCAGCTTAAATAATGTTTTGAATTGTTAGGTTAACTTGACATTTATTGGATTTGGGTGAAGAATATATTTTTTTGATTAAGAACGAAGGGGTTCATAAGGTTAATGTCCGACACTGGATTTGGTATTTTGATTTTATATCATATTTTGAAATGTTAAAGAATAGTGCCATTTATCAATACTATTTTTTATACATTTTGACTTTTGAGTTTATTAGTGAATGGAATAAAATGTTGATACTTACCTAGATTTGTTATATCGAAATCAATCATTGTTTTTTGTTTGATGTATACTCTATATAACGGCATTGACTAGTATCTCATTATAGGTTATACCTACGTGATGGTACTCACAATAATTCTATATCCTTTTGAGTTGAGTTTAATTTATTTGAATATTTTTAGTAATTCAATTTGAAGTTTCAGAAAAGCGAGTAAGTTGCTCATAGTTAAGCAGTATATTAATTGGGTGGAAAAAAAAGATAGATGCAAAAATATAAAAAAATTGCGCATGCTTATTGATTGCAAATGGACGGGCTATCCATAAATATTCTTTTTAAAAGAGGTGGGCCCCTACCCCCCTGTGCGACTTCTCAATTTCAAACAGTATGGTAAGTGTATATTCGAGGTATTCTTGTTAGTTAATTTTAATGTTTCATGGGTGATATAATTGTTTACTTACCGTATGATAATTTTTTGATTGAATTTGTGTTGAATAGTGGCACCTATCTTAAATAACACCATAAGTCCATAACTGTGTCAATTTTGGGGCATCAGTTATATTTTAATTTAAGTTGGAAAATGGTTCTAGGATAATCTTATAACCAAGAGGTGATAACTTTTTTTTTCGTGTCTGCCGTTCTTTAATGAATTATTCAAAGTATTGAGTTTTACTTTCCGATTCCACAGTAGATATTTTTTAAATCTTCTTATTGTCCCATCAAAAAAAATTTTCGTGAGACTAAAAAACTACATTTAACTAAAGAGTTACTACAATTTGTATACCATAATACTATACTAAAATCGTTATATTAGCACCTTTTCTACTCAATTGAAAATCGAATAAAAGAATAGTATAATTTCATCCTTATGAAAATTCATACATTTCATTTGTATTTTCACTATAACAAATTTAAATTTATACCTTACTTTTTGTGCCATATGACTAATGAACACCATGCATTCATATTATGTGTACCCACACATACACACATATTTTTAATTTTTGTTGTTGGCTTAATAGTATGTGCTAATGACAGGTAATCGTTTGATCTATAATAAACTATTGTTTAACCGTCGTATTATGTTGTGTTTTACACAGATATGAATGCATTAATACCACTTTAAGTATATAATATGGATTAAAATAATATGTTTTCTCCAATATCGTTTTTCATTATTTAAAAAATGCATGGATTTGTTGTCAGTCGTGGAATGGCAGGCCATACTGCGAATTTGAACCAACAACTTTAATGTTATAAAAATCCAAGCAATCATACATAACTCAGTTAAGAAATAATAAAATGGTTGAATATATAAGTATAAGACACTAAAGGTTGTGTGCAAAATGAAATAAAGAACGAATAAGAAATAAATAGTTAAACAAGAATAAAAAGTAAACAATCAAAAAATAATAGAACTAGTAGGTAGTAACCAAGAGTAACTACATGTGAAGTTAGGTATATTTAAATGTAAATAATGACCTGGACTGTCCAGCTAAAATTTGATGCAATGTTAACAGAAGTTCTACGAACTTTTCTTTTTTTAAAGAAGTATTTAACTATACAAATTATTGTTTGTTGTTAAGCTATGCCATAAAAAAAACTCTTAATGAAACTATGCAAAAATGTTGTTTTCCTTTTTTTTGTACACAACAATTGTGCATAAAACTAATTATAAATATAATAAATTAGTGTTATTTTTAATCACCCTATATCGTGTTATAAAATTCAGAAATAACTAGGTAAGGTTCGGCTACAGTTTTTGGTTCTTTGGTTTCATTTCTTCTGAAGAAACTGATAAAACTGAAGATTATTTAATACAATGTAATTATTTATCAGTAACTGTCATAGTTTTTATACAAAACAAACTAAATATTTTTAAGTATTGAGTGGGGACAATAGTACCTTTAATATCATAATCACAAATTTTCATAATAAAATTGTCAATATTTTTATTTTATTTTATTTTATTTACTTAGGTATGACAAATTAAAATCGGTTTCTTTATGTTGCCGAGAATTGAAAGCATTATTTTTTGAACCAAACTACTCGTATTATCGTTTTCAATCATTACCCATCACATTCATTAATAATTTAATATAAAAGTTGTTGAACTATATAGGTAATATGTTTTTTTTTTATCTGAGACTGTTTACAAATCAGAATAATGATTATCACTTATCGAGCTAAATTATAATACCTATATGAACAATAAGATGCTTACAAATTGTTATATTTTTATAAAAAAAAAGCTAAAAATTGAGAAATTTATATTTTGTAGGCATGTTATTAAGATCAGTGTTATTACATTTAAATTTATTTGTTTATATATTATTATTATTTTGTATAGATATTCATTGTAAGCCAGTGCCTAGCATGGATCTCAATCCTCATCTCAACTACAGAGCAAGCGGGCATAGGCTTGGCCAGACAACATACTTCAACTGTCCACCTGGATTTTTCCTGAAAGGTTCAGCAAATATCACCTGTCTTCCTTCAGGTTAGTCAATATTATTATGACACCAATAATTGACAAGTGGGCGCCGTTGAAAAATCTTCCAACCATTAGCTGAGAAGTAAATCGTGTCACCAAATGTCTTTGTCTCTTTCTCGTTAAAATAAAATACAAATTATTCAAATGTTTATTTAAACACGAAACTGAAAAAAAACAAATAGATTTTATACGTATAAATCTACAATGTTATCTTATAAAATAAATAAATTATATTTGTTTCCAGATTAACTTAATGAAAAAAAAAAATTGATAAATAACTTCGAGGAAAAGGAAAAATATAAGTCAGGAATTATTGATATTTTTCAAGATAAAAACATGATTCAATGATTCAATTATTATGTAGCGTGCTTAATTGACGTTTTGTCATTTATTTAGCAACCAAATATAATTTTAACATTTTGCATTTGAAAGTTTCCCAAAAAAAAAAATCCTAACCTATAAAACTTTGAACTAACTTTTCTTAATTTATTTGTTTTAAAGTCATGATCTTTGTACTTACATTACAACAAGCGAAACATAAATAAATAATACGAGATTTAATTTTTTGTAATATATGGATTTCTTTGAATTATTATTGCACTTAAAGAAAATGAAGAGTACTTAGAAATATTATGCAAACTGTATGCTTGTCTTAAAATAATACATTTAAATAGATACCAAATATGTTAAATAACTAAAATTAAAATAATGTTAATACTTTATTATAACTTATCAATATAAAATTAATATTAAAATTTAGAATCTTTATTTAATTTACACCTATGTTGTTTTTGGTTTTACAACTTATAAAATAGAACATTTTCGTTCAGTACACCGATTTTATGTTATTTGTAGGTAAATTCACTCTAATAAACCAACTGTATCCACAATACAGAAATTGTTCTGTTGAACGAAGATTTGTTATTTTAGTATGTTACAAGTTTCTTAGATGGAGGTAAAGCATGAGGGTAAAGCATCGTCTTACAGAATATAATTGCACTGAATTCGATCATCCCAGTTTTTTAATTTTGGTTTCAATTCCGGGTTATCACTATATTAACTATAAGATTCTTCAGTTATTTCATTTTAAAATCAAATTAGAGAGGGAGACCGTTTATTTTATCGTAATTCGTAAAAGTCGCCTGATCGAACTCGAGTAAGCTTTATAAAGGACTCAAATATGTTTTCAGATGTCTTATCACATAACTCGGTTTATCGGTATTAATTTATGATGGATAAAAGATGGGTGGTATGTTTTCTTTATAAATACGTTCGGCATCAAATCCCCTTAAGGCTATTATAATCTTATATCATATATTTAATAATATGTATATAGCTTAAAATGAAAAGGGTCTTTCATAACCTTTGAATATTGTGAACTCTTAGTATGCTACATTGCTACTGGATTAATTAGTTTTGTTGTTGCTGAAGTTTTGAAAGTTCACTAGCTATGGTATCGAAACCTTATTCCCTCATTGAGATTTTAGGGTAGGTGTAAAACGAAAATGATAATTTGTATTCGTATAAGATCAATTATTAGTACCTAAACTAGATATATTATGGTTTCAAATCGTAATATAGATAATATGTTATTTGAAACAACATAAATATCACAAGACGTGTAGTTACGTTTTACCGTTTGTTGACATTTTATGGTTTATTGCTTACACACGTCAACAAAATACCAAAGATTATATGTTACTGTCAGGATATACGAGTACCTACATTCCTTTATTTTTTTTCCAACCACAATAAAATAAAAATGCTTAAAACGACCATTATGCACCTTAAAAATTATGGAGAAATTGTATTTTCACGATTATTAATTGAAAGTGATTAGCAGTTCTAGAATCTCTAGGATAAAAAAATTATCCTTTCCTCCGAGCATAATGGTCAGTAATTAAACTAGGGGACATCCGTGGATTAACGTGGGTCCAAAAGTGTTGGGGAAAAAATAAGAAGAAAAAATCGTTTCAAATTAAATTAGATTTTATCTTCCTTGCAGTATCAACTACTGCACAGAAACGTTGGACAACGTACCCCGTCGAATCTGATATGCTGTGGAAACTTCCATTTCTCGGTATTATAGCACAGCACTAATGGTTTAATTAAAACAATTATTTCACTCTGGATCTTGTCATTCTAATGATATGATAGCAGAAAAAAACATTTTTATAGACTTTTATAACCATTTATATGCACTCACTTTTAAGTTTTACATAACATTTATTACGTAAATATTTTTATTTTATCTTATAACAAAATGGGCAATAGCTTAAAGTACATATATTAAAAACATAAACTCTAGACATTGTTTACATAATATTAACGGAGAGAAAACGCCGGATTCTCTCAATGACAGTATACACATCATCATGAACATCAGTCTATTACGTGAATTATTGGCGGTGTAAAGGGGTGTAAAAAAGGATAAGTTGTTCGAGACTGGAGGCTAGGGTTTTGAAATTAAGTTTACTTAGCAATAGAGGACAATCTATAGAGCCGTTAGTGAATTATCTTGGGTTAACTCTAACCGAACACTTGGTTTGTAGAAAAACTTTCATCAGTTAGGATTGATAGTATTAGCATCTTAAGTATCGGTGTCATAGGCGATTTGTACCTCTGAGAATTGTGGAGCCGCCCCCCTCCCCCCGGCCATGATAAACATCGCTTAAGGTAAGATTTATAACCATGGGGTCTGTGTTCGATGTGCAGAAGGTACTCAGCAGCAAAATTTGAACAACTATAGTTTAGTCTTTCTATCTGGTTCCTAGTGTTCCCATACTACTCACAGTACCGAGGTCCAAAATAACAACGATATAGGTACTTAAAAAAGGATATTACAAGCGAAAAGTATAATGATTTAAGTATAAATACAAAAAGAAGTCAAATTTATTCATTTTAGTTTATTTTTTAAGCAAAATATTTCTGAAATATCATGATTAGTTACTTATAATTTATTTTTAGATCATTATATAGATGGCAGCCGCCTATATTACTGTTTTACGACGTGCAAAATTGCAGGGAATAATATAATATAATATTGCAGTAGAACTACTCACTCTTTTATTGATGTAAAGTGTCGAGAACCAGAAAATCTAAGAAGCGTATTATGTATACATTGATGATGATTGTAAACAATAATAATAAGCAAAAAGTTTCACTTAAGTTTCCTCACTGCATCGATGTCGCAGAACAAAAATCGTAAGCACAAAGACGACACCCGTTTTTGTTTACTCGTTCACGTGGCTCGTTAATTATTTAGAGAATCGGTCGGAAAATGTATGAAATGAACTCGGGTGGTGCGTATATACCCACCACGGTAGCCATGAGCTCACTCGAAACTTTCAAAAACAATAAGTTTCCACTCTCCTAACGCGCTCAAACTCTCACAGACACACGCGCGCGCGCACACATGCACACACACAAACACACACACACACACACACACACACACACACACACACACACACACACACACACACACACACACACACACACACACANCACAGACACACGCGCGCGCGCACACATGCACACACACACACACACACACACACACACACACACACACACACACACACACACACACACACACACACACCCGCGCGCGTGGCCAGGCTACGCAACGCTTTCTTCGAGACAGCTGTTTATGATAATTTACCTACGCGTATAATACGTAATAATTTTATATTAAATTGTTATAATAATTTGTGACACACTAACACTTGCCACTATGTGGATCGTTCAAGTGCTCCGATGTTAAAATGTGCTTCGTTAATGTTACCGGAGTTCTGTAGTCAGTGGTAAATATAGGGGTTTGCAAAAGTACAAATGCATTTTACTTTTTTTTTTATGAATATCAACGAAAAACTTTATAACCAATTTATTTTAGTAAAAAAATCATTGATGAATATAATTTATATATTTCAGTGTAGGGAGGGTGCATTATATAGGTACATCGATAATAATTAGCATTTTTCAAATATATTTAATACCTAAATATAATAATATACATATAGGTATATTTCCAAATAAAAAAAAACAAATTGTTTTACTTAATTTATTATTTTATAAATTAAATTAGTAAAATAATATGACTTTAATAATAATAACTAGGTATGTGTGACATCCAATAATCGTGGGAAGTTATTCTAAATTAATTAATAATCCGAGGTTGTAAACCTCTTACCTTGAACATTTTTCCAATTAGCATCACTGTCTCGTCTGTACCTCATATCGTTCCCAACATTAGGTGCATATATATGTAGCCCCGCCTGCCACCGCCCTTTGACCTCCAAGCCCTTAAATAAAATTAATACGCTTTTCTCATTCTCACCGTGTTTAACGTTTTATTGATGATTCCCGCTATATATAGCCACTGCACGGGTGGGTCCCATTACTCACGTGTTGTAAACGTTAACTGTTTTTTTTTTTTTGCTTTTCCTTTTCATCCTGCATATTGTCCCACGCGAGCCATACACACAAAGAAAACAAAATCCAGGACAATGCGGTGAGCTGTCCACGGCTTTTCAGACAAAATAAAATGGCTGTGATTATTTCCTCCATAAAATTTCCATTATGAATGTCTCTAGTGAATGACCTCCCCAGTTAAATTTTTACTAGGGTTCATCTACTCCAGTAAGATCTTACTAGGGAATGTTTACCACGAGGTACCAATTTAAAAGGAGGAAATATTTAAGAGAAAATTAAGTTAAACTGTACAGAACCTATTACAAAGAAGTAAATATTCATTACTGCAGTGGAACCCAGATATATAATCAAATATCTATATACTGATATACTATTCTACCTGCATATGGTCCTCGAAGTAAATATTACAAGCGTCGCATGTCGTTTATTTAAAAACTTTGGTAATTCATTTTTGTGGACTTACTGATTTATTTAAATATTCAATCACTAAGACATTAAAGCCATTCTGAAATATTTAATTAAAATATAATTTTTTTTTTACAAATAAAAAAGGGTGGTTGGGTATACTTTTG